ACAATCTTACCGTCCACTAACTACTCTAAAATCTCATTCTGCTAAAAATTCACCGCCTAATGAACTCTCGGCAGATTATAGATTCCTTTCAATAACAGTTCAGTCTTTCCACCTAAATATTCTCATTACGCGTCCAAACTAGAACCAAAATCTCCGAATAACGAAGAACCGACGATCGAAGTAAATTCAACTAACAGCTGACACAAACCTTGCTCTTTGAGTTTTTGAAGGAGTTTATCAAGAAGAACCATCTTTCCGGAATTATCCACCAAATGCTGATCGGTTGTATACGGCGGTCCCGGCTCGGCGCCGTCGAACAAATACGGGTGATTACAACACTTTCGAAGATGCATCAAAATATTCATTATACGCGCCTGAAACATTGCAAATCAAATCATCGCAGTGATCATAACCGGTTCAAGAAGTCATCTCATGATGCAGGATCAGCAGATACACAACTCAACAGAGATATATTAAAAAGCAACTAACACTTTGCGATCGTTTTCAGTGACCATCAATGAATTAACCACGAAAACTTCACTAAACGCTACTCCGAAAGGTTTTCAAGACACAAAAAACGTGCACTTTGGAAACTCCAATCAATCACAATATACACCACGCAATTAACTTCTTACAATATCTACTCATTTCAGCGTCTCACCTTTTCCAGCTTTCCCGCACCATTCACAACGTCGATATCCTTCATTAGAATTTTTGTGTACCTGAATTTAAAAAAAAAATCAAACAGCTGAACAAAGTTATTTTAACACGCACTACTATATTGAGATCAGATTCTGCTTCGAAACTGATTCGTTTAGAATCTTCTAAATATTATCCATCTGAATACCATTTTCAGACGAAATCTTCTCAGCATACTTTCAACAAGCGTTAAAGTCAACGCTCAACTCATCACAAATCCAACCATATTCACTCACCATTCCCGTTGCATTTTCGACAGACCAACGTAAACTTTCACTTCTTTCTTTGGCAATAAACTTTTCTCCACATCCGACTTCAACCGACGAAGCAAAAATGGTTTCAGCACCTAAAATAATCACCTTTCACTCCAAAATTTATTAACAGATGATACAGTGTGATAATGTCAAATTGGAGCATATCGAATGTTTACTCAAAATATATCATCCAGTCTAATCTTACAATTAGGAAGGCATTATTAATACAAGCAGTTAGATGATATTGTAATAATCGATCGTAGGTATTCGGAGCACTATCCTATTAGCAAAGGTATCAATCACAGTTTCAAGATTATATAAATCAAAAGATTTGTTACTATACTTGGTACAACACTTTCAAACTATCGAATGCTTGTGACAAAAACGAATAAGTCCATGAGAAAGACTGATATAAACGAGTGAACGAAAACAAACCCGATGAAGTCTCGAAACAAGATCTTGATTACCGATCATTTCATTGGTGGTGAACCAATTGTCGAAATCAGATGCAAACGCGAACATGTCTGGTAAGAGGAAGTTGAGCAATGCCCATAACTCGTGCAAATTGTTTTGGAGGGGTGTACCAGTGATGAGTAAACGATTCTTTGATTTGAATTCACGCACGATTTCTGACAGCTGAAATGAATTTGCACTCTTCGCATTNTAAATCACGATGAACATATGAATAAAATGGTGCGGAACTAGTCTCATAGGACTTTTGCATCTCACCACACCTTGAACTTTTTATACGGAAAATGTGCAACAGTATGCAATGATGTGAACTTGCTTCTTTCCTCTGTTTAATTCCAGCAACGATGTGTTACAAGGGAAATGATCGATTCACAGCTAACGTTTGGGTATAAATTTGCAGAAAGTATTTATAATGAATGAATATTTCAACCGCTTTGAATTAGTCCGATGAATGAAGAATTGATGTTCAATTGAGACGCAAACAACAACAATTTTAGATTCTATTCCATATTCTACACTGAGAAATTCATTGTGTGCACGAATGAATTGATGAGATTATAAAATGTACAAGCAAACCTTTGAATGTTCATTTTTGATACGATGTGCCTCATCGATGACGAGATATTTCCAGACGTATTTACGCAAAAGGGACTTTTCCCTTAACACCATCTCATAGGATGTCACCAAAACATCCCATCCACCAGGGATGATCACATCACGAATCAATTCTGACTGTAAATTTTCAGTTATTGACGAATGAATATTCATTTGCAATTATGGTGTCGCTTAGTGGATTTTTGAAACGCTGCTTCAAAATACACAAAAACAGTCAACATGGATGAAGAAAACATTGAACAATAAATATTCCTTCTCAGAGATAAAAGTAACCGGAAATCATGGACAACAACATTAACAACGTTATGAAAGATTCAATAACCAACTCTAGCTTCAGCATGACCAATAAGAGCGATTGCTTTCAGTGATGGACACCATTTCTCGAATTCATTAATCCAATTTTGCAATGTTGATTTCGGTGTTATAACCAGATGCGGTCCAGATGCATTCTTATAATGTTTCATGAAACCTAACATCGATATCGTCTGTAAAGTTTTACCGAGACCCTGAAATACAACAGACTTCTTCAAACCGTTTTATTGGTGATTTCATCGACGAACACTTTCAACAACACAATCATCATCCTTCTATTTTGTGCCTTCTTAATGTGAATATTACGTCAAATCAATAAAAACACACTCACTCAGCTTATTTCATAAGAATATAATTTTTTTCTCGCTATGTTAAAACAATCATTATTTCGCATTGATTAAACGGAAACGTCAACTGTTAATTCTATCGCATCTTTCCTCTGTGAGAGAGGAATTAAAACTGCACA